TGTTTAGTGCCTATCGATATCTAGTGGGTGACGCACGGTGAGAAAAAATCTCTACACGGGACTCTTTGCGTACGTAAATTTGTTCAGTAAACGATTTGTCACAAGAAGCTGATTGAAAAGAAAAATAGGTAAGATTTTAAGTAATATTACTAAGAATGCCTAATATTAACAATTATTATTATATTTAACATACTTTTTATTTATTTATTTGTTGTTTTATGGATCTGTTATTTGTTTTTTTTTTTTATTTAATTAATGGCTTTGGATAACTTGATCCATTCAGCCACGATAATGTATTTGACTACTTGAATTTGTTAATGATGTATTGACCTATTGCATTTGTTAACAAAATAGTACTTCGCATAGAGGTAAATTAAAAATATAATGTAAACATTAGTATCACAAGAATCAGTAGCTTGATAAAAAACCATACATTCATTCGTTCCATTCAATGCCCTAACCAACAATATTTAGGACCCGCAAGGGATTACATAATTTAGGGATACTTTTCACGCTAAGGTGCCTTTCATAGCGACTTTATAACAACACAAGACAGGCAACGGTTAGAAGGAAACATATAAGATACGGATAGACAGAGGGAACAAAGCTAGATTTACACATTCACATTACACCATCAATCCTAAATTTTTCTTTTAGTCCTTTTTAAATATTCCCAAAAAATTTGGTTAAACTTAATATTATGACGAGAGATATATAAAATGGAAGATTGACACTGAGGAAGAGGTATTTGTTCTTTTATCAGTTTTTCCAATAGATACTTAATAGCAGCTTCATTATATATGCACCCGAACATCCAATGATTGATATCGTCAGTGTTACCATTACAATCACAAAGTTCGGTTTCACTTAATTTAAATCTATGAAGATAGGCTTTCACAGTAGCATGATTAACAAGGCATCTAACAAACATTGAATATACTCTTCTATTGGGATGACTTCTTGCAGCAAAAGGCGCAGTAGGTAAAACAGGGTGAATTTTTGTGTAAAGGTTGTTACTTCTGTTACAAAAAGCATTCCATTCAATTTCCCAGTTTTCTTTTAATTCTTGTTTACGCAGCGAGACTAAATCACTTCTATTGAGCCAGCTAATTTCTAATCCGTTTGAAGCCGCTTCTTTAGCAAAATAATCTGCTTTGGTGTTACCCGAGATACCAGCATGTCCTTTTATCCAAATGAAAGAGACTGAATTATTTCTTTCAAGTAGCTTTAGTTGATGTTCTAATATTTTGACGATAATACTGTTTTTGTATAAATGCTTATGCGAATTATCTAAAGCAGACAGCGCAGATTTTGAATCCGACATGATTACTATTTGTTGATCAGACATTCTTTTCTCAATAGTCCATTCCAGAGCTTGATATATTGCAAACAGTTCTGCGGAATAAATGGAACATTGTTGGTTTAATTTAAACTTAATGTGTTCTTGATTATTTTGGATATATACCGCACAGCCAACTCCCAAAATGGATTTTGACCCATCTGTGAAAATCCTATATGGCTTATCAAATTTGGCAAGTTGTTTCTGAAGTTGAACGGCGTTGTTATCATCAAAAGTAGGAAAATAAACTTTGGTTTGGGAGTAAAGAATATTGAAATTAGATTGGAAAAAATTAGTTTCAGCTGGGATTTCTAAATAGGAAGAAACATTAGGAAATGCTATAGCTAAAGTTGGAGAATTTTTGTTATGCCACCATTTGTCAACTAAGTTAGACACAGATATGTCGGATATTTTTTGCAGTAGGTAGGATTGGTTATTACTTTGACATTTAAGGATAAACTTTTCAGCTAAAAAAAGACGTCTTAAATGTAATGGAGGTTCCATACATTCGGCTAAAAGATTTTCAGTAGGTGTAGATTTAAGTGCACCTAAAACCAAACGTAGAGCTTTGTACTGGATTCGGTCTAATTTTTTAAGTCTAGTGTTTGTAGCAGACCCATATAAAAAGCAACCATAGTCAAGAACTGACCTGGTATATGCCCTATAAAACATTAGATTAACCTTAGGATCAGCGCCCCATTGGTGACGGTTAACAACTTTTAAAACATTTAGGCTTTTTTCGCATTTAATTAAACAGTTATTAATATGTTCTTCCCATGTTAATTTAGTATCAAGTGTGACGCCAAGATAAGTATAGTGTTTTTGGACAGGTATACTTAGATTATCAATTATAATGCTGGATATATTCGGTAAGCGATAGCGAGTAAACAACACCACAGCTGATTTATTCGAAGTAAGTTCTAATCCTTGGTTAAGAAAGTATTCTCTTGCACTGTACATAATTCGTTTCATGGATTTAATACATTCCTGATAAGTATTTTTAGAAATGTAAAGACAGAAATCATCGGCGTATTGTAAAATATTACAATTAATTCCCATACCATGTAGATCCATAGTATATAGATTAAACAAGAGAGGACTAAGCACAGATCCCTGCGGCAGACCTTGATAAACTAACCTTGGACCAATCAATTTATTATTGCACCGAATGAATACTTGTCTATTTACAAATAGATTAACCAGTACCTGTGCACATCTAGTTGGGACTCCTATATGTCTTAGTTTCTCGAAAAGTAAGTTTAAAATAACATTATCACATGCTCCCGAAATATCTAGAAAAAGTGCTGCTAAATAATTATTATTTGAGTAGGACAATTGGATGTCAGTAGTTAATTGTGATAGACAATCTATTGTTCCTTTATTTCTCCGAAAGCCTAACTGAGCTACCGGGAATATGCCATTTTTTTCACACCACCACTCCAATCTAGTTTTAAGGATCCGTTCAAGTGTTTTTAATAGACATGACATCAGAGAAATGGGTCTTAAAAAAGTACGATCATTTATTTTAGGTATAGGAATGACCAGACATTGCTTAAGAGAATCACAATTATCTCCTTTTAGTAAAATGTTATTAAATATCTTGCATAGATAATCTATAGCAATTTCGGGAAGATTTATTAACATGAGATAGTTTATACCGTCCATACCTGGAGATGTATTTTTTGAAATTTTAATATTTGCTGTAAGTTCCCTCGGAGTGATAGGAGTGAGTAAAAAGTGGGCATCGATATGATTCTCTGGTATATTTATTGGTAGATGAACAGAGTCGGGAGCAATTTTAGATAAAAGTTGTTTAACTGCTGATTCATCATTAATGATAATTTTTTCTGAGACTGAATTTTATTTACCCTTTTCCAGATGTCTGATGAAGGGGTTTGCCTATTAAGAGAAGAGCAATACTGTACCCAGCTAGATTTAGCTTTTAAGCGAAAAGTACGTTTACACATAGCCTGATTTCTTTTATATTCATTAAAATTTAAAAGAGTTAGATTAGATTTAAACTTTTTAAATGAATAAACGGTGGAACTTTTACAGGTTTAGTTGAATGTTTAATTGGTGTGCAAGATTTGTTCGCTGCATTTGTAATAGAATCTAATAAGAATAAAATCATCTTGTTAGTATTATTAATAACTGGCTTCAATGTGAGCGCTTCCTCCATGGTAAGCCTGAATTGCTCCCAGTTAGCATCAGTCATCGACCACCTAACTGTAGATATAAACCTCATATTTTCTATTTTAATATCATTGATAGACATTCGAATAGGAAAGTGATCGGATCCATATGTATCTTGTATAACAGTCCAGTCAAAAGTTGAGCATAAATTGGAAGATAAAATGGTGAGATCTACAACAGATTTGGCATGACCTGGAGGAGTAGCCCTAGTAGCCGATCCATCGTTTACGATAATTAAATGAGGAAAAGAATCCAAGGCTTCCACTAATATATTACCCTCTGAAGAACAGGCATTTGATCCCCATAATCCATGGTGCGCATTAAAATCCCCAGAAATAATACAGTCATTGTTAATTTGAGAAAAAAGGTTGACATAATCTTGCACTGATACTTTTGTTTTTACTGGTCGGTATAAACTTAAAATCGTATACTTTTTTTTTGTCAATACTAACGTTTACGCCACAAACTTCCAAGTTTTGATTGAAATTATTAACAAATGAAATAGGTTCGTAATTTATGTTATTTGATATAAGTATAGCTACTCCACCGTATCCGTTAGCTCTACTTTTACTTACTATATTAAAATTACTAAAACAAACATTATCTGAGGGTTTGGACCAAGTTTCCGATAATATTGCTATATCAAAATGTTCTTCAAGAAGTAACTGATGTAAAGAATATTTGTTAGCGTTGAGTGATCGAATATTCCACTGAATAATTTTGATACCTTTGATAGCCATGAATTTTAAGTAAAAAAGTTATTAACAACTTCTTTAACTTTATTCTCAAATTCAATGTCATCGACTTTAAGATTAGGAGCCATATTTGGAGAAGCATTAACAAAATCTTGAAAGCTTTGTTTAATAAAATTTTTAAGGGTAACACTAAGCTGAGTGATAAATTTACTAAATTCATCTACAGGTTCAGGTTGTCCGAATTGGAATACGGGACCAGCACAGAAACTAGTCGGGAACTCTCTACGAAGAGGAGGGAAATTAATAGTGGTGTCGCTATTTTTTCTTTTTTTGGGAGGGCTAACTACCGGGGTTGAATGACGTTTGGGAATATTATTATTCTTATGAACTGTACCAGAATTGAACTGACGAGTAGAATCAAATTTTAGTGGGGGAAATTCCGTGTCAGAGTTGATTAACGGTGCAAATCTATTCTTCTGAACTAGGCTCGAATAACCTGGATTATCAGAAATTTTCTGAGCTTCCTTAAACGAAATGTTCAAGTTAGCCATAGTTTCTTTCGTTTTCCTCTGCTTAAGATATTCAGGACATTCCCTGAAAATTGATTCGTGACCACTATTTTGACAATGCACGCAAAAAGTATTACAGTTTTCAGGACAATCTTTATTGTCTTCATTCCCACATTTTTTGCACCTTTTTTTTGATTTACATTGAGTAGCCGAATGACCATAACGCAAACACTGGTAACATTGCATGACCGGACTGACAAATACCTCGACCGGGCATCTAACTTTATTAATGTAGATGAATTGAGGAATTAATTTGCCCGCAAAAGTAACAATAATCATCTGTCTTGGAACTCTCTCCGATATACCGTCTTTTTGTATTAATCTAGTCATTCTTTGAACTTTTTTAACCATTACATTCGATTTTATAATATTTAAGAGTTTATTTTCACTTATAGTAGTGTCAACAGCGCGAACTAAACCTCTTTTTTCTGTCAAATAATTAGGTATAAATGCAATTAAATTATTTTTTTCAAAAAAAGATTCTTCTACTAGCCTATTTGCAACCAGACCCGAATCTACTTCGATTTTAATTCTATTCCTGCCAACACTAACAATTTCTGTTATATTTTTGTCGTAATCCGCAAGAGAACTTAATTTTTCTCCTATTTTCATAGGATGAAGACGACCTAAGTTTAAATCATTATGTTGTACAAAGATAAAATACGGCCCCGTATCAGTATTGCTAAATCGATTTGTAGTATTTAAAACCTGACTTGATTGTTTATATTGTTGAGTTGTAGACGGCAAGTTTTTATTGCCATCATTAACAATAGATTTAATATTGGATTTATTAATAATAGAATCATCGGAATTCAAAACATTTGGAGTATTATTACAATTATTAATCTCAGAGAAAACAATATCCTCGACATGAATATTACTTAACATGACGTCGTTATCAACTTGATCCTGTAGAGGTGGGTCTTTGCCACCCACACCATTTTTACCCTGGGACATCCCAGGGTTAAGTATTGATCAAAAAAATATAGGAAATATTAATACTTACAGTACAAATTTTCTACTAATAACTTAAAATTACCGTAAACCTAATTAAAACCTAAATAATCTCGATTGAATACGAAACAACCTTGTACACCGGTCCGCACTATACGAAGGTTAGTTCGAAACTGTTGTTATTTGTTTTTAATATAATATTTGCTTCTAGTATAAATAAATTTATTTTTTTTCCAGAATGGATATTTTCGACATTAAAACCAGGAATCAACTTTTAAAGTGGTACGAAGAAGTAGAAGCAGAACCGATATCAGAATATTCTAACTCAGAAAATGACGCTTCTTCTGCACATAGCATTCATGAGACGGACACGGAGCAGTCAGAAAACGATGAGAATTTCAAATTATGTGACTCAATTGACGAACCTATAGCAATAACTACAGTTCCCTGAAAATTTCCTCAATTTATTGGCAAAGATGGAACAGTTTATTTAAAACATGAACTGACAAAACCTGTAACAAAAACAAAAAGACAAAATATTGTTATTCAACTTCCAGGTGTAAAATCAGTGGCATCAAAGTTTTATACTATACTGGATTGTTGGAAACTTTTTTTTCCTGATAGTACTCTAGAAAATATCGTACGCCATACAAATAAACAACTTGCGGTTATGCGGAAATCGTATAAACTGGAAAAAGATTCTCCAGCATCAGATTTCCATGAAATATGTGCGTTTATTGGGCTTCTATATTTGGCTGGAATAAACAAGGGGCAGCATTTGAGCACTCATGAATTGTGGACGAACGATGGAACAGCACCTGTATATTTTGCTGCCACTATGACACAGAAGCGCTTCCATGTCCTTGTGAGAGGTATTCGTTTTGATGATCGTCAAACCAGACCAGAAAGGAGAGCTGTTGATAATTTAGCTCCTATTAGAGAGCTATTTGAAAACTTTGAAAATAAATGTTCTCAATATCCCAGGTTCATACGTCACAATCGACGAGATGTTGGAAGGTTTTCGTGGTAAGTGCCGTTTTCGTCAATATATAGCAAATAAACCTCAGAAGTATGGCATTAAAATCTATGCGCTGGTTGATGCACGAACATTTTATGTCAACAGTATGGAGATCTACGCTGGAAAACAACCAGAAGGCCCCTACGTACCGTCAAATGATGCATCGAGTGTTGTAAAAAGATTAATAAAACCCATTGATTATACAGGTCGAAATATTACAATGGACAATTATTTTACATCTATTCCTTTGGCAAATGATCTGTTTGTAAACCACAGACTTACTGTTGTAGGCACAATAAGAAACAATAAAAGGGTTTTACCTTTAGACTTGCTCACTGTAAAAGGTCGACCAGTTCATAGCAGCATGTTTGCATACGGCCAGAATGAAAATCACTGCATCATAGTCTCATATACCCCCAAAAAAAATAAAAATGTACTAATGTTATCAACGATGCACGATGACGATTCAATTGATATAGAGTCTAGTGAGAACAAGCCAGAGATGATAACATTTTATAATTTAACTAAAGGAGGCGTGGATGTTGTAGATAAATGTGGATGTTTTAGAAAAACTAATAGTTGTAACCCCTTTGAATATAAAATTTTTATAATAAAAGTAACAAAATGACTTTAGGGTGTAAATGACTTTTAGGTCTTATAAATGTACTAATATTATCTTTATTTTAATGATTTTATATATTTTTTTTATTAATATAAAACAGTTGTTTAACAAACTTTACTTTTATGCTCAATCATTTCTTACTGCAGAAAATTATAGAACTTATACCTTTCTTCTGTAAAAAAATGATAAACATCTTCCAACATAAAACAATTTTACTTATATAAGTAATAAATGCTTGTCTAAATAATCATTTTTTGTTATTTTAATCACTATGATTAAAATTCAAATTTGGTGCAATAGCTCAACATAAATCGAGTACCAAAATACTTCAGAAGTTTATAACAACTTATAACACTATTCCAGAAAGAGCATAGTCACTTGAAATGTTTTAAAATGAAATATAATGTTATTTTTTACCAGCGGCGATAATCTCACATGAACATTCGGTAATAGACTGAATTGTAAGACTCTCGCTCATAGAGAACTCTGTTCTCGAAAACAGAGAATCTTAAGTTGTAACACTCTTCTTTAGCATGGTCGATATGTCAAAAGTACAAAGAATTATCCGTAAAGAAATTACGGGCTGTGGCGACATAATGAAAAAATTGTCAAAATAAGATACCAAAAGCTAATCATAGATGGATAAATATGTACATGGAGTAACAGGCAACGTTAAAAATAAAAATGTAGAACCAAAACCCTAACAATACAACTAAAACAAGCTAAAATAATGAAGACGTCTTGACAAAATAAAGGTACAGGATATGAATAAAAATCATAAATATAAACAAAGCAATAAATGACTATAGCTTAATAGGGACATTGTTCAGGAATCTGTATTCACTATTTATTTATTTTACCTAATTTTTTATTGAATTTTTTATGGGGTTAATAAATTATATAAAAAGTTTATTAGATTTAAAATATTCCAAATTATTATGTATTTACCTGTTTTTATTTAATTGTGTGAATATTTACACATTCACACAAAAGGGCGCTATATATATATATATATATATATATATATATATATACATATATACGGATATATTGGGTTTAGTAGTCAATATATTGGCCTTTAAGTAAAACTCTTTTAGGTTTGCTAAGCTTTCGAGTTTATTTTACTCTTTTTCAAAACATACTAAAAATTAACATAAAAAATTTACATTAGAAAAATGAAGTTTTTATGTCTTAAATAGGCTTACCTATTATTATTAATTATATATATATATATATATATATATATATATAATTAATGTTTCTTGGGTTTAGGTTCAATAAAGATATGTTACATGTGGAACTAGATTTTATTTTCCATTGCAATCAATCAACGTTTCGGCAGGAAACCCTTGCCTTTGTCAAGATTCTAAAATGTGTATATATATAAGGACAAACAGATATTGTAAAATATGTATATATATATGACTTACCAAAACGTAAAACGTGACACAGACATTAACGAACTGACATATAAAAGTTGATATTTGATATCTCATTTTTTACTGTCATTAGTATATAATTATTTTTATATCGGCGTATCGTTGACGTTTTTGAAAAAGGTAAGGTGGAGATTATGTTATGACTTTAACAGCTTTTTATGATGTTATATTATTATTGTTTAAATCAGATTAAAATATATTTTATTTAGGTTTTGTATATTTTTTTGTCATTTATTGCGTTGGTGTTTCTTTTTATTTCTATTGATTCGTATATCCCCCTCTTCTTTTTGTTTTTTTCTGTTTTTTTAATTTTGATGTTTTCAAAGTCAAATTTATGCTTCTTCCCGCTTTCATGTTTTAATGAACCTAAACCCAAGAAACATTAATTTTATATTAAATATAATACGGTTCAAGAAACTCAAAACTACAATATATATATATATATATATATATATATTTATATATATATATACATACATATATATATATATATATATATATATATATATATATATATATATATATATACGTAAAAAATTTAAAATATCTAATGGCGTGCTCAATAGGCAAACCTGGGATGCCTAAGAAGGTACCACGACGCAAATATTAGGTTTAAATTTCGTGATAGTGATACGACGGTAGCGTCTGCAATGTGCTTTTGGTTTGCAAATTATAAAGACAATAATTGTGCAGTGACAAATTGCGTACTCACTAAGTCTACGTAAATTACTTGAGACGTACGGAACACGATTCAAAGGTAAGCGACTTGTACGTAATGCCTGCAAACATTTTTTCCATTTTTTAAAATAATAATTTTGCTACTCAGTTGTTTTCATATTTCTTACTATTCTTTTTTGACATATTAGGGCAAACTATGTTAATTCAAAATAGTAACCTTAGGTATAAGAATTAAAACAAAAGAAGCGCAAAACTCATAGGAAATAAATAAGTATTTGATTTTTAATAACGAAGGAGAAAATAGAATATTAGACTTTAAGGTTAATAAAAAGCTAAAAAAATACATGGTTGACTTTAAACCAATTTAAGCGGGTATATGCGTACTAACAATAACAAAAAGTACCAAAAAATAACATATTTGAAATGGGACAGACAGAAAAAAAATATAACGAACAAACAAAACAAGCTATACAATAATATAATGAAATAATAATAATAATGAACAATAAAACAAGATATAAATAAATATATAATAATATATAATAATAAATAAAAATAATAAATAAAAAACATAGAAAAAAGTTTTGGGAAAAAAAAATTAGCAACTTATATTAAGATAAAAAAAAATAAGAAAAAGTATTACCAAGAAAAACCTGTACAATACAAAAACAAAAAACCGAATGAATCTAGTGTGTGGTGAAGAAATACTGAACAGATGAAAAGAATACTTCGAAGAGTTTTTAAATGATACTCACAACGTAGTAAAAACAAAAAGAATTACTGAAAGAAAATACCGATCAATGACAAATAGAGAAAAAATGCCGCCCAATAAAGAAAAAATAAACGAAATAATAGATAAACTAAAAAATAGTAATAAACGCAGTAACAGCTAAAATGTTCAAATATCTAGGACCA